TTATTTATTTTTATTTTACAATCTTAACATTCTTTTGATTTTTTTAGAGGTAATTTCAATCGATCAAAGCTAATTAATTCGAATCGAGTCTTTAAATTTTAATTTTAATTTTCGCAATTAAGACAATCGACAAATTAAAATGGTACCGAAATGACAGTTCAATGGTGTTAATCCTTCCTTGACTGTAACTGACTCCCGAATCCGACATATTTCAGGTAAAATGCAGATTAGGTAAGATGGTTTCTGATCAACCGAAATATTTTTAAAATGATCGGTGGCGACTCTAACGTGTTATTTAAGTCGAAGCCCAATTTCGGGCCCACCGAAAAGACGGTCGCGACAATTATAATATTTAATTTTATATAAATTTAATTATAAATTTGTAAATAATAATATTAAGTTATATTATTATCATATAAATTTTACATTAATATAAAATATGTGTGACAATTATTGTTTATATCATTAGTGACGTGGTACTTTAAAATTATAAAAAAAATTCGTTGTAAAATAATATAAGGTGATGCCGTGATGGAGGTTGTTATTGCAAATTGTGAATACCTGATTCATTTTTATGTAAATTTGATATTGCAAATTGGGATATAAAGTAATTATTCATTGTGAATTAAAACGAGTATAAAATATATCTTAGATATGTATTAATCGAATTTATATTTCTTATTCGAATAGGGATTGTGAATTTGACTTCGAATTACAAAGTAAAGAATATATTTGTTTATGAGGAGATTTCAATCTTACTAATCTAACTCTTAGCATATTCATATTTAGATTTTCTTAAGATTCAAATATTCAATATATAATTTAATAGTTTCGATTTGGTAAACATTCAAATATTTGATACATAAGCATATTTAGTTTAGATTTAAATTTATATAATAATACTCAAATAATTTATAAATAAAATAATCATTATCAAATAAATTTATGAATTCAAATTCAAATAATTCAAAAATCGTAGATAATAAACCCTTTGTTATGTACAGATTGCCATGTTCATTGACTCTTCAGTCTAAAGTATACTTAAGACTCAATTGAGATTTACATAAGAATTTTATATATTAATCACTAAGAGTGACGGTGATAGGATTCAAACTTGACCTTACAAGTTTAAATTCCTAAATCACAACCACTTGTGTCAACAGTCGTTAGCCGAAATAATACATTACTGTTGTAAACAAAATAGAAAAAATATTAAAAGAAAATAATTTAATTAAAAATTGAAAACCAATTTTGATTCTATATAAAAAAGGGGTAAGTAATACAAAGGAGGAGAGTTAAAAATGTGGTAAAAATAACAGGTAGCAAACAATTGGAGAATCTATCAGGTTTATGTAAGAGAGGGAAGTGACAACAATATTTTCTTATCGGGGAAACTGGTGGGTTGATTCGTGTATTTATTTTACGCATAACACTAAATTAATAACCTAATGACATATTTATTGATTTTTATGAAAAGGTAGAGTAAGTTGCGGGACCTAACCTAGGGTTATGAGCTTAGATCTCTTTCTTTATCTATTAAATCTACGAGTAAAGTAAACAAACGATCTTTTAACTGGTCTCTTTCTTTATCTATTAAATCCATGAGTAAAGTAAACAAATGATCTTTTGATTGTAGAAAATTATTTAATATATTAATTATTAAAAGTTATAAAATAATTATTTAAATATTTTATATATTTTAATTTTATTTTTTTCATTATAAATTTGACAGTTATCTAAATTAGATGTTAATTTGTTGATTAAGATATAATAAATATTCTCATAACTGTTTGAGTTATATTTTATGAATTAACTATTTATTTATAATATATATCATCGAGTCAGTGTTTGAAAGTAACGGTAAAACCATTAGGTATTATTAAAATATAATTTTATTATGTCTAACGCCGAGCTCATGAAAATGACGAATTTGAAACATATAAATACTTGGATGACTGTTTTAAATTTTAATAATCGAAAGATTTAAAAAAACGTACTATAATCATAAGATCATTTTATAGCTTTAAATAATTAAAAATCACAATAAAATAATACCCTATAATTAAATATCATTTATGTACTTTGTCCTAAATTTAGATTAAAAGAAGAAAAAAATATTTCTAATACTATATATTTTGTCCGTTTGCTGGCAATCTATTCTCAAGAATGAGTAAACTTTTTTTTATGATTTAGTAATGAAAAACGATGAGAGATTTATAAAACTTATTTTCATCAATCCTTTAACATGATGGAATACTATTACCAAAAATTAATGGTTCACCTTTTTCAGAAAAAAAGTATAATAAATAAGAAGAGTCGGGTGATTAAAATAATGATTAATCGGCAAATTCTGTTCACTAAAAAAACACAGGAATCCTCGCAAAGAAACCAGGCAAATATTACAGTCTGGGTCCCATCCCATTTTGGTTTTGTTGTTTTGCCATGAAAAAGCGTTCCCCAACAACAATTTTACCTCGTTTTTCTTTTCCTTTTCATCATCCCAACGCTTCAATTTTAATTTAGAGAAAATAACCTCAGTAACCAAAAATCTCATATAATATACGATTTTAATCAACTTTTTCGTGATTTGTCAAAATGACCAATAAAATTGCAATGCGATCGTTAATTCGCAGCGCGATCTCCATTATCACAAATCAGTTTCCAGATTCGCAACGCGATTATGACTATCGCAATGCGATTTTCTAATTTCGCGTTGCGTTTTTCACAATTCGCAATGAGAATAAGTAAATCGCAATGCGAATTTGGAAAATCGCAATGCGGTACTGACTATCGCAATGCAATTTTCCTAATTCGCATTGCGATTTACGTATTCGCGTTGCGATTTTCATAATTCGCAACGCGAATACGTAAATCGCAATGCGAATTAGGAAAATCGCAATGCGAATCTGACTATCGCAATGCGATTTACATAGCGCCATTCGTATTAACGCGTATTTTTTTTTTTTCAAATTCCAAACACGATTTTTTTCTTAATATATCGGAAACTGAACCGTCCACAGTAATCGCAACTCATAACCTCAAACCTAAAATCACAACACTCAGTCCCATCTCCATCTCTCACTCTCTACGGCGAAATCCGTCCCCATCTCCGAAGATTTCCGTCCCCATCGCCGACGAAATCCCTCACAACCATTCACGGTCAGAAATCCCTCACAATCATTCAGAAATAGAAAATCAACCTCCGAGGGTTAGTTTTTTTAATTATTTTTATTTTGAAATTTTTTGCATTATTTTAGGTTTTTCATATTGAAATTGATGATAAGTTTACTGGTAATTTCAATAATAGATTAACCATTTCACTTAGATTTCTTATTAAATTCATTTGATTGCTTCCAATACTGCTAAACTGTTTAGTATTTAACCCTGTGAAGTTAGTATTTGTCTTTGTTTTGTCTTTTGGTTGAAGTAATGCAGAAGAAGAATAGTTTCGAGAATGAAAATCGCAACGCGGAAATGACTATCGCAACGAGAGAATCGCAACGCGAAACCAAAATCGCATTGCGATTTTCATTTCGCGTTGCGATTCTCTCGTTGCGATAGTCATTTCGTGTTGCGATTCTCTCGTTGCGATAGTCATTTCGTGTTACGATTCTCTCGTTGCGATAGTCATTTCCGCGTTGCGATTTTCATTATCTCATTCCGATTTTCATTTCAACCAAAAGACAAAACAGTGTTGCAAATTTTAGTTTCAAGAATAAACTACTATTTATGTTTATTGTTTTTGGTATATCTTCACAGTGTAGTTTTTGGTATATCTAACTTGGTATGTTTATTGTTTTTGTAGAAATTTTTTTCGGCTTCATTGACATTAAGAAATAAAGTTAGCCTAGCCACTACAATTGCTTCGAAGCTTTCACCTGCACAAAGAAAATTGTTTGAGGAAACCTGCTTCGGGCCATGGCTGAGAGTACAGCATCCGGGTGGAGATGCTAATTTGACCCATTTGTGGCTTCAGACCATGACTAGCGATCTACCCGACAGTATACAACGTGGTGAGGAAGAGATATGGTTTCATTTTCCACCGGCGTATACTTGTTTTGGGCGGAAGGAGTTCTTCTTAATCACTGGTCTACGATTCGGACACGATGATGTAGGCCGGTACACTCGTCATATCACCCGCCCATCATGGTTATCCAGGGTTTTTCCTGATGAGTCAATAGAGAAGCCGAACTTACACGTCGACGACCTGAAGAAATTGTTTAATAAGAAAGATGGTTTTACTCGGATGAATGACGTCAATGTTGTCCGAGTATGCCTTCTACTACTTTTGTATGCCGTCTTTTTAGGCAGAGAGGCCAGACAACCTATTCCTCATGAGCTAATATTATTGGTAGAGGACCTAAATGCATGGAATCTGTTTCCGTGGGGTTCGTATATATGGAAAGCTACCTGGACTAAGTTGTCGTCTGCCTTTGATGACCGCAAAAGTTTGCGGGGCGATGGGTCCAAATACACTTTGTCAGACTTTGTTTGGGCCTTTAAGGTAAGAATTTCTATATAATGTTTTCAAAATTATAATTAATTATTTAACAATTACATATTTAATATCCTAATTATTATTTTTATTCTATTTAGATAATCTATATATATATATTTTAATCAATAATATATTTAATTTTATTTTTAGTTTGGTCACTCATTATTAAAATTTAATGGTGAATTGAGAAAAATTAAGACAATAATTCAGTAGGGTGAATTATTTAGTCCAACAAGGTAGCACAAAATTTATTTTCGAATCTACAACATTTATTAAAGTGGATAGTGAACAAGTAACGGAGGAGTAATGAGTTCCAAAACAAATAAGTTTATTGAAACTCGTCATGTGTGGGTGACAAGTTTTAAAACAATATAATTTTTTATTAGAATTGTTGACACTCGTTTTTTCGTCCTTTATATTATTATTATTATTATTATTATTATTATATTATTATTATTATTAATATAATTGTTTTTTACAGGTTACAAGACCCGGTCCGATGGCAGCAACTCTACCACAGTCATCAATGCCTCCTACATGGATCTCTCCAACCGAGCAGCAGCTCGTGCACGTCCCACCGCAACTACATGTTGGCCACCCACGAGAGCCCATGCTGACCCATCTTGTGCCAACCAAGACCTGCAAACAAGCAATTAAAATATCATCAGAAAGCAACCAAAGTCAAAAGAAAAGAAAGCAATTTAATCCCGAAAATTTCGGGATTTCATTTCACCTAAACCCATCATCTAATCCCCACTAAAAATCAATATGCAACAAGAGGACAATGGATTCGGTGAGAAGTGGGAAAATAAAAAGGAAGCATTCGAAGAACATAGGGAGGGGGAAATACCGAAACAAAACGGGGAACAGAGGCCAATTTCAGAGGGAAATTCACCAACAATAGGGGTCTTAATTCCCAATTTTGTTATGTATTCATAAGCAATGTAACCCAGTGTAATTGGGGAAGAAAATAGTTTTAAGGTTCCTTCAATTCTCTTTCAGAAGCTTTAATTTTTCTAATTTTTATTTTATTTATATTTGAAACCAAATAAAGAAAGAAAAGGGGATAGCTCAAACGTTTACCTGGGTTGTTTGAATTCAAGTGGAGTCTTGTTGACTTAATTTTTTCTCTGTTCAGGCTCTGTCGAGAAGAGGGGGTTAAGATTAGTTTAGTGAAGATAAGTTTTAAAACAAAAATAGACAGGGAGATAGGAGTAGTATTACTTTAGCCTTGAGTTGGAGTATTTGCCGAGGTTGAAGCAGTGTCGGAGTCACGTCGGTCTCGGGATGTTATCGAAGTGAGGGGTCGAAGCTTTTGTTTGTTCAGGGTGTTTGTTTAGTGCTAAGGGTTTTGTTTAGTGAGTTATAAAGAGGGAATCAGGGTGGCTAGTTTAGGGTATGGCCTTATAGGTCGCCACTGCTAGCAGTCAGAGCGTGGAGTGGTCACCAAAATATGGTGGCCGGCCGTAGTTTGTTTGGTTGGAGGAGCCTTGTTTTCGATCATGTAAGAGTGGAGAGTCGAAATGGGATTTATTGGGTCTTTAGAATCTGTCTTTTGTGGTTTTAACCATAGGCCAAGGCTTGTAAGAGTGAGTGGAGTTTTGGGGTTGCTTTGGTAGCCGGTGGAAGTCACAGAGCCTCTGGAAATTCTCGAACTGAGACGAAGAAGAAAGGAATGGACGAAGAAGAAGAAGATAGGGAGAGAATCAAGAGGGGTAGAGCGGCAGAGGAGTTTAGCTTAGGTTTAATGTTAGTTTAGATTTTATATTAAGATTTCTGGGTAAATTAACTTTCAGTCATTGAAACTTTAGAGTAATTTGTTTTCGTGCCCTTGTACATTTGTCGTTTATTTGCATATTAGTCACTAGTAAGGACTGATTTTTAATTTATCATTTTGTGTTTGTCTTGGTTTAATTATTTTCAAAATTTATATTTTAGGTATAATATTTTGAGTTATTTAATTTCATGTCATCGTGTTTTCATTATAATTCTTCTTAGTCCCTAATTTAATTTGCATGTTTACTAGAGTGAGTTGTATTTTCATGTTTGAATATATATTATATTAGGTACTTTTATTTTATTGTTATTATATTAGGTATGATTGTTTTTAATGATCCCATATATTTTTGCTTAAAACATGTAATTTTGTATTAGGTAAAAATCTGTAGTAATCCTTTAATATATTATATTATATTGGGTTAATAATTGGTTGTTAAATACGTTGCATATTCACATATATATATAATACATATGATTTTTTTATCAAGATATGGCATGTATATATATATATCCTTTTGTAAACAAATATGGTATGAATGTTTTGCATAGCCTTTATTAAAGAATTTAAGATATATATATATATATATATATATATAATATATAGGTGTGTTGACCCTATAATGTTCAATGTTTTGTTTTCTTTCCATGTTAATATAATATATATATATATACATATTCCTTTATTAATGAAATACATTAATCATGCTTTACTTTACCTTTTATTAAGGAATTTAATATATATATATATATATATATATATATATATATATATATATATATGTGATCATGAAATTGACATTTCTTTTCTTTTCATGTTAACGTAATATATATGTGTATGTATTAATATGTATTTTTTTTAAAAAAAACAATTGGTTGATAACTTAGTATATATACAAAGTTACTACTTTTGTATATTTCTTTGTGTATAGATATATTTTATTTAATTTGTATGTTAATCTCATACGCATAACTTGACCAAAACATAATTGGATATTCGAGCATTTTAAAATTATCGAAAGAAACTTTTTAATACGTGAATATTTAATCCTTTTTAATATATAGCATTAAGTATTAATATTAGAAATTAAATTTTAAATTTGAGCTCCTATTCTTTAATTTTTATAATTTGACATTTTTATGTTAGAAAAGTCTTAATTTATTTTTATTTTTAGTTTAATTAGGACAAATAAAATTTTGTTTGATTGCATTGGTTTTACAAATCTAAGGCATTGTTCACTTATTGAGGAATTAATATTATATCTCCCGCGATCGTGCTCAGGGGGTGACTACTAGTAATTCCTTGAATAAGTTGACATCCTTTTCAAAACCACATCATGTTTTTTTTAAAATGAGGCAATATTCGGTTATTAGGCACAATAGCTGATCTCCTGCATTTACGCTCATGGGCGAATGTTATCTGTCTCGATAAACGAATACCCTTTTCAACTTTGCATCCTTCATGATTTTTAAATTAAATAAAGATCGAATTCCAAAATTTTGATTTTAAATATAAGGTAATCAACTAGGTACCAATTTTTGGGCGCTTGTGGGGGTTCTAATCCTTCCCCATGCGTAACTGACTCCCGAACATAATTTTTTGGATTTTCGCAGACCTTCAAACCCGATATTTTAATAAAAACAAAATGTTTTATTAAAAGCATCCGGTTTTTATGTTGTTCCAATCTCACCTTAAATGGTTGGTGGTGACTCCTCACATTTCAAAACAATTTTTAAAGAGAAAAACCCCCGAGTCGGTATCAGTCTTTCCCACCCAAGCGAAAAACGGTTACGACAGTTGGTGACTCCGCTGGGAACCTTTGTTTTTTAAATAAATTGAGAGTCGAGCCACGAGTTAGGTACCCTATATTTATGGTTTTAGAAATTTCGAGTTCGATCTTGTTTAATTTACGGTTCATTATGTTATTTCAAAAAACAAAAAAAAGGGTTTCTTTCTGATTAATGCTTACACTTCTGTGAAATATTTAGGATTGTTATATATCATAGCTCTAAAGCCGAGCTTAATCCCAGTTTACTTAAGTAGGGAGAAACGTCATACCTCACGAGGAGCATTGGGCTTCCTTGTGTGGGTCTGACAAAGTATCTCTGGAAAGCACTCTAAGTTGCCTATCCGGATATTAGTTCCGATGTACGCTTTTAGTGGTGTGATCCCTTGAGCTGAACTTGATTCGCAAGTCTATAATGGGCTAGAATCAGGGGCAACCTTAACAGGTTGTAAAAATGGCTTGGGAACCCTTTTTCTAGAACCCAACTTCATATAGAGAATTTAGTAAGCCTACCCCACTAGAGCCATGTGGATAACCTAGGAGAACTAGAACGCATGCGATTAGGATCATTAATTTCCTTTGTATGTTTTATTTTTTAGTCTCAACTTTAAGTCATATATAAGATTATATATTTTTTTGACTAATCATTTCAACTAATTTGATTCTTGTTATCTTGTTTCTACTAACATTGATTTTCTTTTGTATGCTCTTATTGCATTTTTGCATGTATCATTGTCACATCACATCATTTCATAAACGATATTGATTCTCAAATCACCTAGTTATTATAAAAAAGCTTAAGGCATCAATGTCTTCCGATGGGACTGAGAATGCAATCAATGTTCAGACCTGGTATGAATATGGGCAGACACGATTTGGGGATAGCCTTGTCACTATCGAAGAATCAGTTTTTCCAGAGAAGGTAATTATCCGAGCCTTGTAGCACACTCAAAGACTGAGAGAGCAAAAACATGAGGCTAACCAGGAATTAGCACAAAGGCGAGCACATATTGAACAGCTCGAAGCACAACTTCTTAGTATCGATGAGACTTTTCGAAACCCTTACAAGAGTATTCAAAAAGAAAATGATATGTTAAATAAGAAGATAGCGGAGCTAGAAGGAGCATAGTTGATCCACTCATCCGCACAAGAGGTAACCATGCAAGAAAACGAGGCCTTAAAAGAGAAGATTGTTGAATTAGAAGTCATAGTGCATAGATGCCATCAGCGAATCCAATAGCTAGAAGAGATTCGACCCTTAACTAATCCAGTGCTTGGAATTGCTCTACGGTAGGCTCAGGACACCATTCAAAGGCAACACGAAGCAATGGATCAGACCCGCGATGTGGCTCATCAATTCTACGAATTATCTGAAGAAGCGACAACTTTAAGAGTTTTTGTGATTCTAGAAATAGAGGAAAAACGGCGCATCATGGGATTGATGATATAGCTCCAGAGATTAGGGAATAAGGTAAGATTCTACGTTTAGTATTTATGTCGATATAATCTCTTTGCCTAAGTGATTAGACGTTGTGTGTTGTTGAGTACTTTTTATATAAACTAAGTTATTTTAGAATCAATATCGGGTTGCATTTGCATTTGGTATCCACATTTTCATTCGTATTACTTTAATTTAAACTTTTTTTCATGCATCAATCATGAAAACGTGAGAATAACTCGTGAAAGATGATGTGACAGAAGCTTCAAAAGCAAACTGAAGTTACCCGAGGCATGTTTCTGAAAAAAATTGAAAGAAATGAATGAAATATTAGCACGTGTTAGTAGGATCGAGAGAATCTAAGAGCAACTCGTAAGGAGACAACAAGAAATGACTGAGAAAGCAAGAAAGTTCCAAGTTGAGTCCAGGGAACAGATGTCCAAGTTGATGAGAATGATGATTACAGTAATACATGGGGAGAAATCGTTAGAGCACCCTATTATGCAAGGAAATATGATGACTTCAAGTGAGAATATGAATGTCAGTGGTGTAGCCAATGCAATGACAACAAGTGATCAAGAACCTGTTAGGGAGTGTGGTAATCCATGTCAACTCAAAGAATCGAGCACGATTCTAGGAAATATGACAAATATCATGCGTGGAAAAGCAAAAGTTGAAGGTAAAACTGCTAACACAAAAGTTGAGTCTGACTCAAAGAAGAGAGGCATAGAGGAGGTTCAATGCCAGTAAAGAAGGACAAAAAGAAAAGAAAAGAAGAAGATGATACCTCTGATTCTGATTCTGATCTCATAATCTGACTTGTTACCCTTTCTCTTTGAAAGTGGGCTCCTGACGCCTTTTCCTCCGAGGTACAATACTTATTCGCGTCTAGATTGGCAAGATGTCAAACATTCATGCGACTATCATATTGGAGAGTTTAGCCACTCTACAGAAGATTGTACGATCCTGAGATTTAAAGTTCAAAACCTCATCATGGAAGGGCTATTATGCTTTGAAAATGGAAAACCTAAGCTCTCCGAAAGCTCAAAACTTGATGATGAAGGGAGATCTGCAAACCAATGTCTCTCCCAAGATGCTGGTCAAAAGTTAAAACTTCAAAGCGAGTGTTTCAGTGATCAATCACAAGGTCTTCAATCTGCTCATAATAATGGCAAGGAGAAAGTGAGGTCAAAAGAGCTTTCATACAGCCAGTTATCTCACAAGTTGCTCCAAGCCCAGCTGATTGCTCCACGCCTGGCTAAGCCTCTGCTGCCCCCTTATCTGAGCTGGTATAATGAGAAAGTTTCTTGTGAATATCATGCTAGAGCCCGAGGACACTCTATCGAGAATTTTAGTAACTTCAAATGACAAGTACAAGATCTTTTGGCTTATGGAGTTATAAAGGTGGATGGTAACAATCAGTCTGTTTCAGTCAAACAATTTAAAGTCAACCCTTGGAATGGAGTTGATGGGGTCGAAACAAGTGAAGTACATGCGAAAAAGGAGAAGTGTGAAATCAAGGAAAGCAAGGTATGTGAGGTAGAGATAAAAGACTCTCATCTCGACACCTCTCTGACGCTAAAACAGAAGATAGAGGTGGGAAGTGACGAGAAAAAAGTCAAAAGAGAGGTAATCCGAGACTGGCCACAAAAGATATCTTGGGAAAATACGACCCTCAAGGTTTTTCAAGTTCCCATTTCTGACTTGTTATCCCCTTT